AAACAAGCACAAACACAAACTGAAATCACCTCTCACAGACTGATCCCCCGGCGACAAAGCAGTCACACGCACACACGTAAAACACACGCACAACCTGACCCCACTACCCCTCCCTACGGTGTAGAGAAATTACTGCCACCTGAAGCGGAACCCCCCGTCCATCATGGGAGGCCCACAAAGCCCCACAGGTGTCCTTTAACATGTCCAACAGTCCCCTCCTCCCCCCCAGCTCACCATGTGTCCATTCATCTGGCTGCAGTGGAAGACATCAAAACAAAACATCCCTGGGGGGAAAACCTCAAAGCTAAACATGCACATGAATTGCTCTCTGGTGAATGCACAGCTTGGTGCTTCCAACACTGTGACAAGACAATCAGTCTATTAAATGTAGATCTCGCAAGTAGAATGTTTAGGCTACGCCCACACTAATGCGTTTTCGTTTGAAATCACTGAAATCAGACGAAAACGCCGTTTAAAAATCTATCCGGGCTAGTGTGGACGTAGCCTTAGTCAGAACAGCAGTTTCCCTGTCAGATCTTTTCTTTTGCACCTTTTTTTTTTTTTAAATGATATGCTGCACAGTTTAACTACAGTATTCTTACTTTGTTTACTTCTAATCTCTAATCATCTCTGGTGTCTGTGTGTATTTGATCTGTGGCCAGTAACCAAAGCACAAAACCCCACATCTTGACCAGATTTGTAGCGTGAAGATGAACACGGCGAGTTATAAGCAACAGGTGGAAATCACTCCAAACCACAATGTGTTTCTGAACATTTCGTCTGGCTGTGGTTTAAAGAAATGTTACTAAATAAAACTAAATTTGCTTAAAATGGAGTTAAATAGAGCAATCACCATTTTGCGCTAAATAGCATTGAAGTGAAAAGTACAGAAGAACCGGCCAGGTCCAGTCACTCTACATTACCAGGCAGCAGGCTGACGATACGCATGGCACCAAACAAATGTTAAATCATTGTCAAAGCCTTCTCTGCACTAAAGTTGTGTGTGGGTATCTACTGCCAAAAGCTAAAAGAAATAATAATAATATTTAAAAGAAAAAAAACTCCACGGGAACATACAGTCTTAAGACAACTGCTGTGCAGATATTGTGCACAGGTAATGAGACAGGCAGGCAGGGATGAAGCAGCGATTGCCAGAGACAGAAACACAGACAGGGAGGCAGTCAGTTTTAGAATAAACACCGGAGCTCTCAGTGTCGCCCAGGAAGAAATTATTTTCTTTGATGTCAAGCCACGTGACCTTGCAGCAGTCTGAGGAATTGAAGCACTGTCCAAACAAATGTCAACACAGCTAACACCCTCAAGGTCAACGTGCGTGTGCCTTCAGTCTAAATTTTTGGTGTGTGCATGCTGAGAAGATGGTGGGGGAGGGACATGTACCCAAAGGCTTGTGGACTTGGACTTGTTGATCTATATGTTTAAAATTTACAGATGGTATTTTAGAGAAATAAGGCTTTTACTTTACTTTTAGTTTACTTACATTATGCTTTTAGTTGTATTTATTTGTGTCCACTCACGCTTCTTTTTTTCTTGTGCATCCTTTTTTATAGCTCCAGCAAACTGCTTTTATGAATTACCAGTTGGTTTTGAAGCCAAGAATCTATAGCTGGAAATAATGTTGAGTTTCTATGTATTCAGTAAATGCTAGACTACAACAAGCTAGCTACTACTAGCATAAAACACCAAACTGCCTACTGAAATGTCAGTGATTGAGCTGTATTAGTTATTGTGCACGTCCAAAGTGTAGGTTGGGTTTTTAGATGGAATAAGAATTTTAAAAAGCAATATCTGCATCTGTTTTTATGTTTTTATCTTCACTGCTTACACTTTTCTGTTACTTACATTTATTAAATGTTGATGGCAATTTAAAAGTAGGGGTTTTTTTTTAGTATAAAGTGAATGGCAATGTATTATACTATAATTTTAAATAAATCTGAGTATTTCCACATTCTGTGACATGCATGTAATACCATTGTGTCGCTATATATGTTAATAATTTAAAATGCATTAAAACATTAAGCATTTAGTGATAGATTTTATTTATATATTTTGCTTTTATTTTGTCAGATCAGGTCAGGCAATAATTTAAATAATCACACATTTTTGCACTAAAAACTCATTATAGTATTAGACTAGCTTATTACCTTAAATGAGTGATATAACTAACTTATGCTTACAAATGCTTTAAGAAAAACAGAAACACCTTCTTTTGTCACCGGAGAACACGATACATGTAAGTGTGCTTTCTGTTTTGGCTCATCACAGATGAATGACTCCAGAAACCACAATGGTACTGCTACACTTTGAATACAATCCTCTCACTGCTAGTAAACAGTGGTGTCCCATTGCAGTAGTTTATTTAGGAGTCTGTTCTAACCCAAACAGGATTATGTCAAAATCCACCGCTCCCTCTTTTAGATCACTAAGTACTTTCTGCTGCCGCTATTGAACACTGTGCTGATGGAGCAAATGAACACCTGTTTGTGGAAAATAAAGCGATAGGGAAGCAAAGAGAATGAAAAGGGAAAAGTGTGGCAGTCAGAAAAACATTTCCAGAAACCTTTCAAGAAAAGCACTTAAGATCTGTCAGATAAAACTTAGGTTGAGCCTGTGAAACCTTAAAATATTTACTGAACACTTGAAACTTTAGAATGCACATTTGCTATCTTTAACATGGGAGAACTTGGTTTTGCTTTGTTTTTGGTGAATGCAAGATTTAGTCAGTTATACTAAGGGAAACAGAAGAATTTCAGCTGAATAGAAATGCTTCCTGGGTCTTGTTATAAGCCACTATATCATGACTTGAAATACACACTAGTACATTCTTCCCAGTGGCTGCACGTTGGGAACCCTGGAGCTATACTCAGAAAATACAGGCAATCTAAAGGCCCCAGTGTTACAAATCACTATTAACACTCACATAAGAGGCAATTTGCTTCTAACATTCAGTTTCATCTGCTAAGGTCACCAATGTCAGCTCACTATTTTTATAGTTACCATTCTAGAGAAATAATTGGAACAAAAGTATTTATCAGTTGAAGAGCTTATTGCACACAGTCTGGCTGGTATCTACAACAAAAGCACAACAGACGCCATTGGAGTGAGATGTAATGGAAAAGCACCAGGAAGCTTTTTTTTTTTTCATTTTGAAGTTCATGACCTCACCAATGGTTATTTCCCTCTTCATTTACACTTATGTACTTAACACACAAACTTGCTGGTGTCTCCAATCTGCAGCGTGTACCTCGGGGTAGAGCCCTGCTATGGTGAAAGATGCTGTTGCCAGCACACCTGTGTGTATATGTGGGTTCACTTTTCTGTCCCTGCAGTTGTGAGTGTGTCAGGTTGTAGGTGTGCACATGAAAACATCTCCTCATGTTACAGCAGTAATGGCTCTGCTAAAAACCTGTGTCTCCCACTCAGTGGTTCCAGGCTGCTGTGTAATACAGGCCCTGCAACTGACTCCACTGAAGGCTCGACACCTTCCTTAAAAAGGAGCTAACCTACTAATCAAATGAGTTTGAGCACTCTGGTTAGACATTTAACATTTAAATACTGCATGACATGGATTTGGAAACATGACATCTACAGCATTAGACATCAGTCATAACCACTAGAGTCAAAAGCCTTCAGTTGTTTTGTTTATATTCATCCTCACATGTCTACTAATTCAGTTAGACTAAATCATCGTTTCCATCTACAACAGTTCATATTTGGCAGCATGGAATTGTTCTGGTCCCCCTCTGCTCTTCCAAACACATGCAAGAGAAGGCAACAGTAAGATACCTCCCGCAGAACACAACAAGCATCACTGGCAACGGATATGTCACTAATAACCCAGGGTTGCAAAAGGGCTTGCACATGTGCGGCAACTGTAGGCAGGATTAAGCGACATAAATAGTCTGCCTTTTGTACGCAAGATTTGCACAGAAGGGTATAAGCTAAGCGGCCACTTGATGTGGGTTTGCAATGATATCAGATGCTATCAGCTGATCTACCAGGACAGTGGCAGACTGCCTTTGAGTTTGTAGTCTATCTATAACAGAATGTTCATTTTTGTCAGTCTGGGTCCATGATTAATATAATTCATAAAAACAAGAAGCTAACAGAGGTCAACGGCAGAGACTTCAGATGAGAATTTCATTTCACTGTATATACGTAATCAGGACTACCGTGTTTTGTTGCATTACCAGCTGCTTCTAATTTAGGTCTGTATTTTTATATATCAATTCAGTCATGTATATGTTGATAGCATAAAGTATCAGTAACAATCAACTATGTACATGGTCTCCTTATCCTTTGTTGCACACTTTCACACCATCTTGTGTGATAGATAAGTCATCTGTATCTTGTAGTGTGGCCAGAACAACACAAAAAAAAAAGAAAAAGGTTTTGACTTAATACCATTTTACCTTCAGTTGTTTAGTGTTTATATTCATCCTCACATATCTACTAATTCAGTTAGACTAAATCATTCCTCCTTGTATGTGGCCAGGACAGCCTATAGACGCACTCGTATCTCTCTCCATTTTTACCAGCAGCAGTTTGTAGGTCTGCCTGCCACATTCACCAAAACAGAAATCTGAATGTATCTGAACCTCAGGGGCCACCTGACAGAAAGCTTTTTTGATAGCAACCTTGCTGAGGTTACCACTGCACTGGATATTTGGTTTGATTCAATTTCCTAATAGACTAGCAAGTGATTATGTAAACAAGAGGGGAGCTTGTGAACCTTGAGTAAGATGTTTTGGGTCAAGCTTAATGTAGAGCTATTTATGAAGGACATGTTATCACTATCTTTGTGTTGCCCTAGGCAAACTTTGAATTTCAGACAAACATGTAACCGTGTCCATTTACTGCCGTCCTTTTTAGGCATGTACACTAGATACATTGTGGGTTATTTTAGTCAGAACAGTTTACTCCAGCTTTAAATCTTTGTATTTCCAGAAAAATCCTAGTGATATGAATGATTTTTCTCTTACCAGCACTTGTAAGCCAACTTTTGTTGGTAGGGAGGGCTGATCACACTTCTACAATCCCTGTGTGCACACAAACGAAACACAAATAAATCAGTCTTCACTTTACAAAAGCATATTTAAAGGCACTTTAAATTTTAGCATTTTGTTTTTTGTAATCCAGACAGCCAAATATGCCAAGGACAGCACCATTTTAAGACATCTAGGAACTGAAGGGTGTGGATGTACAGAATCTCACCTGTAAAGATGGAAAATTAAGCTCAAATAAAAATCCTTTATATAAACATAACACATGGGTGTTTCTATTTCTTCATCTCTAAGAAAAACACAGCCTCAAAAACCGGTAATTTAAATTGGATTCATTTCACACAGCGTCCATTTTTATTACCCCCCTATAAACCATTCCAGCCTTATGGTTACAGAGAGAAACAGGGTGTGCACGTGTGTGTGTGTGCAGAGAGAGACAGTATACAGCTTACTCTGTGCGTCTGTGGCCTTTTCTACATACAGTATCCCCCACAGTCAGAACAACCACTTGACAAAGAGGTCACTTCACGTTAGGTGTTAAAAAGGCCAGACTGCTCATAAATCAAAGCTTCTACAAACTTAAATGCATTTCTCAAGCAAGCAGTGGAAAAAGTTTGAAATTCACTCCAATAAAGGTTAATGACAAAGATAAAGATGCAGGTATTTGCTGTGGGTCAAAAATATTAAGAATGAAGATAAAGTCTAAGCTTTCTAGCCTTGTCATGGCTTAAGCCTTATCCAGATTAAAATAAAGTGTATTTTCAAATATACCTTTAAAGATGCCACACCAAATTTCTTATTATAATTATTATTGTGACAAATAAACCATGCGTTTGTTTGCAGAGCCAAGAGACAGAAGATAACGAATAGTAATGATCACTGCATCGATAAAATATGACTACTTAACCCAAGCCCAGGCTCGACTTCAAGAGACGGAGATTTATGGAGTAAAAATTAATTGGGTAGACTCATATTTTGGCAGCTGTTCTCTCTAAAGACAGACAGCATTTGTTTAAAACAGGCTGAGCTGAGACTGGATATCGGCTTAGGGCAAAACCAAATAAAATGAGAATATCTGTACAAGTTGGACCAAGGACGTCTTTGTTTACACCATATTTTATCAAATAAAATAATTATATCTGTTTCGGCTTGACATGACCTGAACAGTGAAGGAAAATAACTCATAGCATGACATGGGCACTTTCCAACCTCTTCAAAAATGTCAGCATTAATATTACGATGTGAGGATCCAGTGTGCGTTAACCCCAGGGTTAATACCTGAGCTCACCTGCAGCAGCCAACGATTTTACCGAATGAGGAAAATATCTTCAGAGAGCCTCTGATGTGAGGTATGTGAAAAGCAGAAAATGCCACTGTGGGTGTCAGTTTGCAGTTCAGCCTTCAGGTATCAAAAAGCAGGCGTGTTATGGCGAGGGCCAGGCTGTGTGCCAGACGGTTGTTTCTAAAAAGGATCAGTGAGGAGGATTACTGCTCAAATCCCTTCTTTCACTGAGTTCCTACAAACTGTTATTTCACTCTCTGCTTTACAATAGGCAATGAAAACACTGACAGGTAGGGTGACTTGAGAATGGCAGCACCAGAAACACGCATGAATGCAGACAGATGGCATCTCAGCTGTTTACTTCACTTTTTTCCTAAAATGTTCCACAAAAGTTTTACCGAAAAGCATGTTTTCCCATCCACTTAAAACGTGAGACATAAGAAACAGACTGTGACTGTGTAACTGTGAACGTGGTGCAATCGAATTGCAGCATATTTATGTTGGAACTGATATAAAGCCATAAATAAAAAAGGGTGAGGTACATGCCTCATGTTCAGACAAATTCAGCTGACGTATATACCTCAGGTTTGCATGCCATGATAATCATCACAATATTCAGCATTTCAAAGAACTTTACTCATTAAAAAAGACTAAAGCAGTCGTGTGAAAAACTGAAACATTGTGTCTTATCATAATGCCACAATCTTCCCAGGAGTGGACGTCCCACCAAATTCGCCCCACCATGAGATTATGAAATATTTAGACACATTAACAAAAAAAACCCTTCAGACTTCAATTAGCATGTTAAGCATTAAAGTTCATTCAGTGTGGCTTGTTTGACAGGATAGCCAGAAGAAAGCTTCTTCTTTTTCTGAAAAAGAACAACACACTGGCTTAGGTTTGCAAAGTTGATTTTAAACAAACCATTTTTGCGCTGTCTGTTAAGTGGACAAAGGACAGATGACACCGAAGTGGAGATGTCTGACTATGCACAGTCCAATGTCTGACAAAAAACCCCAAACCAAAACAAAAACAACACAGTGTATCAGCACAAACATCTCATACCAACTCTCAAGCACGATGGAGGAACAGTGGAGATTTGGGTTTCTTTTGAAGCCACAGGACCTGGGCAACTTGCAGTTATCAGGCTGGTCACAAACTTCTCTAATATGAAAGTATTATCTATATTGTCTATACCAAAGAGGCCATCTGTCTAAAAGCAACAGCACAGCAGCAAATCTATGACAGAATGACTGAAAAAGAAAAGAATCAAGCTGCTGCGATGATTGAGTCAGAGTCCAGACCTCAATTTGACCTAAATGCTCATACTGGATGTGAAGGGAGCCTTGCCTGTCTGAAAACCTCAGTGAACTGAAACAATGATGTGGGTAAAGATTCCTCCAAAATGATGTAACAGACTGAGAGTCCTACAAAAAAAAAAATGTTTATTTCAAGTTGTTGAGGATGTTTCTACAAGCTATTGTAAATCTTAGGGTGCACTTCATTTTTGAGTGCTGTGAAAACGTTATTTTCCATAGGACTGTATATAGACGTAAACTTCTCTGCAGACCTGCTGCTTATTTTTGAGTAAACTATAGCATTGATGCTGAAATAAATCAATTCTATTATGGAAAAAATGCATTTATAGTATTGTGGCCAGTATCCAATTCTAAAATTGTCATAAAATCTATTCCAATCTGAAACCATTAAACATACCACCCACACTCCAACATCGGCAGAGCTTAACAGTGCGGCCACAGAGAATTTAGTAAAACCTAAAAAGCCATTAAAAGAAAACACATGATCAAATTCATGTGAGTCCATAAATAGTCAAATTTCTGAACAGAAGATTTATTCATACTTTTGGCTAATGTGGCAATCACTCAGCAAGCCTGGCCATTTAACCCTAAAGTCACACATTACTGCTGAGAGGCACTTCTGTTGGCTGGTTTCTTTCTCTCTCATATACAGACATTTACATTTTGCTCTGTATTTTCTGTAACCTAGCTAGTATGGAAACTATCAATTCATTTATTAGCCATAAAGGCATTAAAAAGCGAGACAGAACTTATAAATGCCAATTTTTTTCAAGTAATTTTCAAACTAGACTCAGTGGAAAGTCGGAGATTTAGTGAGTAGGCGATCAAAGTGATACTATGGAGGACAGACTATTTTACCCAGCTAGAAAACAGATCTTACACACAGACAGATTTGCATGCCACTTTAAAGTTGCTCTGTATCAATGCACATAACTCTTTAAATCCAAAGAGTTATGTGAAGTGCAACACAATGTCAAGGATGTTCATATTTTTTGTTTCTTCTTCTTTTTTTTAAATTCTTTGATGAAAAGCATTCTCAAGATCCGTTTATGAGACAATAGCAATATCAGCGCCAAACATGGAGCTTTAATTTTCTTGGGCAAGCCAACTCCAATAAAATCCAGGCAGCCATATTTTGCAACTCGACCTCAGCTGAACTATCCCCCCTTCAAACAAACATTTTAAAATGTACTGTTTCCATATCTCTATAACATGTTATTACTGAAAATATTTATACTTCTTCTGGCAGATGACAGTCTGACATTGACTGACAGGATTTACCTTTATTCTTCAATAAAGTGTAGACCACCTTGCTTGCAACACATGCCAGAAACTGTAGAGTGTGTTTGTATAAGTTTGACTGACACATTCACTATGGCAACTGACGTGATTTGTTTCCCCAGAAAACACCCCCAGAGGTGCGAAGTACAGTATAGAGCCGTGAACAGGTTAGACCTGTGTGTCTGCAGATGCATGCGTATGTGTGAGAAGGTCACTGCAAATTGAATTTTAGGAGGTGTCTGAGATACAGAACAGCAGTTTGAAGGATATGACTCATTACTGCCTCAATAGACCCCTCAGTGTTTAGCCGCAACTTGGAGAAGCAAGGGAAAAAAAAATCTACTTACCAGCCAGGTTACCAAATCTTTCCCACCTGTTAGCTCTGAAACTTTTTTTAAAAAATTTTCATTTCAACATTGTGAGGCAAAAAGATGTCGTATGGAAAGGCAACTTTAAAAATAAAATGCATCAAATTCACTGTCTATTATGATTAAGTGCATTTTTTTCAGTACATAACATGAACAGCTGAGTCTATTTGGATAATTAAATTGTCCCATTTATAGTTTTACAACCAGATTCGTGACTTTTTCCAGGACAGATGGTTTAAATGTTAGATGGGTTGTGCGCCATAGACTAACCAGTCTCTCTGTGGAAGTCTTTAAAACAATTAGGAACATTATTCCGAATCCATACCAAATCCCATGAGGGAGACATCTGTGTGATCACAAATGATTTTTGCAGCAGAACATAGAGCCAGAGTGAAAACAACTGTCTTCAGCAAGAAGAACAGCGCAACAACAGACTGTATAACACTGATCAACCTCATCAAGTCAGAATTCCAAAAAGGAAAATGACTTAAAATCTGTCCAGAGAGCCTGAGAACGGTTAAACTCAGACTTAACTTTTGTGATCTCATCTCATCTCTGATCTACTGTAGGCTGGATATATGATTACCTACATGGAAATTGCTTTTTTAGAAATAAAACCCAAAGCTTTGAAATATTTACAACAGCAAGCAGGTTAAAGTTGGAAAAAAAAAAACAGAGGCTGATATTCAGTATTGTCAGAAAAATCTTGATGTTTACAGATGTTTGCCTTTGAAAGTTAACTCACTGTTTAAAATCAACTTTGAGCATTTAGAGGTTTTTTTAGCT